GTGCAGAATGCCATATGGAATCAAACTAATGAAATACCTCAGTAGGTGGCATATATAACAGTATATAAAACTAATTACTTACAGTTCCTGAAGGATTGAGGTACACTTTCACACACTGCTTCATGTCAATCAAAACCTGATTCTTATTAGCATCTATAACAGGAGGGGAGAGGGGGGAGGAATGGGGACAAAGACAGTAAACAGGTTCTGTGTTTAGAACGTCGACATTATAGGGACTTTGTTTTTGCTAGGCCACCAATTGGACGTCCATTACCGATTCCCCTCACCACCATGATGTGGGTGGTATACACACACACAAATTACAGACGTGTGCAGAGTCACGTATGACTGCCACAACAAGGGTGCGAGACAATGACCTAATAGCTCTAATAGTTCTAATGTTTGCACATCCAGTAGGTTAAATCTGGGAGTAAAGGAAGACTCAGCTATGCCCTGCGTTCCACTGTACCTCGCAGTTTCACAGCTGGAGAACTGCAGAGTATATTATATGAGTCTCAGATAGCACCTGGGGGGGGGGGGGGCCGCAGTATTATAGTAAGTTTGGTTGTCTGGATGGTAAGACAGACACCTGAAAATCTTCATGTGTTACGAATCTGTACATGGCTGCTTCTTGAGGCCAACCGTTCCGAAAAACAGAGGTTATGCAAAAGACTATGCATGCATGAACAAGGTACATTGGCTTAGCAAGTCGTTTTCCTTGCTTTACATATGTACGCATCAAGCTCTGACTTGCAACAGTTGGTACACTCCTGCTCACCAAATGCTAAGCATTCACACTTAGTTATGAGGCTCTAACACTCTTTCCCTGTACATTTGATGGGAAGTGTATAATATAATATATTATATATTATAATTATAGCTGAGATCACACAAAAACTACATACCAGGCATGCATAGCAGAGAACCAGACAGTAGGGAAAAAACGTTCTGATCTCTTTAGTGTCTATAGGACCCCTATATGGAGCCACATTAATACATAGTTGAGAATTTAACATTTGCTCTGATTGCATTCATACCGCAACGGCACCAGAACAGCGTCTCCAAAATAAATATTTGCCTCTCTCTGAAGTATCTACTTGTCTGACGACGCCACCCACAGGGCAATAAAACTCTTACAAACACAAAGAGTGTGTCAGTGCAAACAAGCAATCAAATTAGTTATTAATCAACCAGTTCGAAAATGGAAATTCACCACAGTTTGTTATGCTTCATAAATTCACACCTTAGCCCACAAACATCAATGCTTTTTCATTGATGCAAGAGGATAAATATTTTAAACATGTGACAGATGTCATGTCCAAGTTTGAACTTCACAGCTATTTTGTTACTAGGGAAATTTGTTAAAAGTACTGTTTGCAGCATCTTATATTACACAAATTGCATATTAACTAAAAGAATGCAAAAACTTACCAAATCCATAGTCATGAACGTCGGAGGCCACCTCGCAGCGAAAACGGTACACGACGGCTCACTTGTGTTCGCTACAACCACTGAGAAAAAGAGATTACTGGTAATTTTCTCAGTTCCACCGCAGGAATGATGCACAGGGGAGACAAAGACGTTGATAAGCAGTCTATTCCACTGGCTACTAACCTGCCGAGCTGCTACGGATCCACACTACGGCCCAAATGACGAACGGAATCAGTATCACGTGAGACATCGCTGTATTACTGTGCAAGTAGTGAGGGTTTGCGCCTGCAGAGTTTTTTCGTTGAAAAGATAGTAGAGCTCTCTTGGCTGCAGGCCGATGTCTGGTCCGCAGTTTTCGTCTCCTCACGACCGGCGCTCCACGCTCGCTTTATACCGCTCGTTCCGCTTCCACACGCATGCGCATTGAAAATTCAATTCACGCGCAAAAAACAACACAACGGACGACGGAAAAAAACGTAAAATATAAGTGTCACTCAAACATCTCGTTAAAGGCACGGCCCAGGACCCATCTTCGTATTTCACTTGTTCCAGCTCCAATTTCATAGAGCTTGCATCCCTTAGGAACCTGCCTGTTGGATACTCATTGATGTAGCCATTTCCACCTGTCAGTGAGGTGGGGGGACCAGAAGAGAGGTGGGAAGGAAAAAAGTGGGGAGGGAGAGAGAAAAGATGAAACAAGAGGAATGTGTACAAGAAATAAGTGTCTATTATGAAATTTTAGAGTGTCCCTTATTTGTATTAGTATGGGGCAGAACCAAGTGAGACTGGTGTCCTTTATCCATGGGTCCTTATTCAGAAGTTTCCCTAAGAGGACACATGTAGGCATCCCATAATGTTTTCACAATCTTACTGCAACAGGTCTAGTCAAAACTGAGCGATAAAGTCCACCCCCTCCCCTCCCCCTGGCAAGTATTCAGGCAAAGTGGGTGGCACATTCTCTCGCTTTAGTCCAACCAAAACAAAACTCTCCACATTAAAGTTCCCCATCTCTCCCCCACCCTCTTAGCCTTACAAAACACCAACTTCACTTCTATACCATACCAAACACTATTATCATCAATTTCACTAAAATACCTTGCATTTGGTCACTAGATCACCCACTAATAGGTATAGTCCCACATTACCACATGTTCTCCAATATTTCCAAATTACTACTATTATCCCTTATACGTAGCTATAAAAAAACTGGATAACTATTCTCTGGCAGGCTCTGGTTTGTATATTATAATGTGGATACAAGTCCCTGAGGAGCTTACGCAATAATATATAATGAGCTGCTAATTCAATGATTCAGTGAAAATCAGGCAGATGGCCGTGCCAGATACAATGTGGGAAGGTTATTTTAAACCCATCAAATGCTATTTCTCCAGACAAGCCTGTTATTCAACTGAGAGGACGCCGTAATACCATTATCCCAACGTCAATTCATAGTTTAGTATCTCGGGTAGCTATGGCACGCTAGGGAGTGGGACCATGGAAACGGGACTGCGTTGTAACTCTATTAAACCACATTCTCCGAGAGAGACACCTCGTTACGTAATTCCACACTTCAGTTGGGCAGCTCTGTGGTCACAGCAGAACAAATTGCAGCTAACAACGCTCCGAACACTCCCTTTTCCCCCGTGATAAGGTAGCCCATAGCTACAGCACAGCTGTCCCTCTGTCGGCTAGCTTACTCACCATTTTAACCTAGAGATGATATCTCGACATCGTATTATAGGACTTCGTCTTGTCGAGGATGTGAAAAATTTTTCTCACCTGGGATAGCGGTCTAATGACGTGGAGTCTAAGTACACAAACCATGTACACATATATAGGCTCATGGAAAAAGCCGATCATGCCAAAGACTTTACTACTCATAACAACCGCAACACATAAAGGCAGTAAAGGCAGCATGAAAAATATCGTTCAACCGTTGGATCATGATTGTGATATCAGGCCCATATTCCACACGACATCACTGGTGAAATAAGCGGTATATTCGCCTCACTTGCCAACTGTAGATTGGTCGAAAACAGATTACATCAGTGATGTAATGGTTGATCCGTCAGAGCAAGAAAGCAACTCTAGAACTTACTACAACACTACGCACCACATGGTGTGTCTAGTTTATGGTGGAGCTTCAGGTACAACACGAACAGATCGACCAGTTACTAAACGTATTACAATTAGCAGCGTCGACGCAGTGTTACGTAACTCGCGGCGAGACCAGATAAAACACTGGTTAATTAGCTCTTCTGCCGAGCAGACAAACCCTGGCCATTCACAGGACAATAAGCGACAACAGATGTTTTCCAGTTATGGGCACGCAAAGTTGCCAACCAATGCCAACACTAACAAACAGATCAACACACCACTGCATGGGTATTGGGCCACCTTTTGAGAAAGAGAAAAAGCTTTGGTGGATGGACCCAAGAGGAGTTTTGTGGAATAAGGACTTTCACAGTTGGAGGGAACGAAACTTTCAATATTTACGTTTGAGGGCTACCTGCAGGCTTTCTTTAAAACATTGTAGGGAGGGTACTATGCATTTAGAGAGGGGAAACTCATTTATACCGCCTTGCACTCAGCTGCCGTGACCCCATATACACTAGCTATGGATGCAGTATAATTACATAACTGCCCTCTGCAAAGTGTGTTTTGACTAGCGGTCAATTTTCAGCTCCCTGGACTGCCACGAAGCACATTAGGCAGGGGAGGTGGTGGGGCGAGTGTATTGTGGCTAGGAGGTGAGGGCACGTGTCTGAATAACAGACCCAGCCAAAGACACCTCCCCTCCTCTGCCCACATGCACCTGCCGTCCAAATTGGGGCTGGTCTTCCCCTTTGATGTCTGGAGCTGATTAACTTTGCGGTGAGCTGTCTGGGCCACATCAGGCAGTCCTACCTCAAATGCCACGTGTGTGTCCTAGACCTGTTTCCCTTGCTCCCTCCCTCACCCTCCCTTCCTCTACCGCTCACTGTTTTCGAAACAGAAAGCCAAGCTGTATAATTATAGGCAATACACTTGACACTCTATTTAGTGAAGCTAGTTCTGAGGGTGGGTAGAAACGATATGGTGTAGAGCTCTGCACCCTTATATAGCGGTGTAGCTAAAACACACTGATTGAAGAGGAGAAGAAAGGGAACAAGAGACTGTCAACACTACAGACATTATGCCCTGTTACGTAATTATGGTATACTCAGCAAATGTTTGGCAGGCAGGAGACTTAGAGAGCAACCAGTGCTAAGCCTATGGTCAACAAGTGGAAGCAACAGTGCTCCCTGGAATTTGGGTATTAAGATTGAAAACCACTTATAATATTGTTAAAACTAGCCGATGTACTACACTGCCAGAGTCGTGGTCTAGCACTCTGTGGTGCAGTGGATTCCAATCTTGACACTTGATCCATGGCTAGAATTTCATTCACATGTGGAATTTTAATCTGCTCGGAGTTCAGGCTTTAGTCTATGTGTGAAATTCGAAGCTACAAATAAATATTTGGTGAATGAGAAAACGTCACTATTGTGAGAACATTGCAGCAACAGTAGCTACTGGCAAACAAAAAATATGCAAAGGTTTAATAATCCTGACTGATATCGATATTCCTAATCTTCGACAAAAATCTTATTTCTGGTTTTTAAGTACTGAACTTGGTATTACTTTATTACTGGAGGCAGAACAGGCATAGAAACAAAGCAAGCACCAAACTATTATTACTAAGGCACACCCATTGCAATAATAGACAGCAGATGCCTACACAACAGCCTAGTTCCCACCGTCCTTGCATATTATGCCTACATACAAATGACTGGCAATTAAAAAATTATATTCCCACAATAGACACAACACGAGTGGAGAGAGGGAGCAGAAACTTCAGTCCAGAGGGTGCACTGCCCCAATGTCCCTGTACTTCACATTTCATTGACAATATAGTTAATCTCACCACTGACAGACAAAACACCATAAGAGAGAGGGGGAGTTAAGACACCAGAAATCAGCAGATGAGAGAAGAGGTAAAGCTACAGTACTACTTGGCTCTAGGTGATAAAACCATTCCCAGTGCATGACCGAGTGACACGGTGTTTTGTCTTTGAGAGAATTCTGGCAGAAAAAAAGCATTAAGAGACTTGTGACCACTGGTGGTGTAGGAGCTGCATACTATGATGGACAGACATTACGATATGCCTCTCACTAGCCAACTCCACATTGTGTAAATGAGGTCACTTGGCCTTTCACTGGTAATTAACTTTTGAGCATTTCCAGGAACTCTACATGGTGATTGACATTCCTAAGCCTACAACAAAGTCGAAAGGAAAAGACAAAAGCAAACAAGAATGCAGTACAGTTTGAAAAGAGCTGCCCTGGGTGGGATTTGAACCAGCGACAAGTGAAGGCCTAAAATTAATAGGCAAATTGACACACACATACACACAGCGAACTGCAAGAATAGATTATGGATCCAAAGGTGGTGCTTTTTCAAATCCTGATAAGAGGGGTTCCACTCTAGACATTATAGTGATGTCATAACCAATGAGTGATCAGTACTGTTGGCTGTGTACATATATGGTCATTCAATGATTAGTAGGTATAATGGTGGGAGTGAGTGGGAACTCCTCAATTCTATTGAAGCGAATTATTGGCTCACCACTGATCAGGCAGTGATCAGTTTCCGTCATTGCAACACATAGCAACCAATCAAATCAGAGAGAGAGCCTGGATTACACAGCATTGCCAATGTTGGGGGGTTGATTATAAGCAATTACAGGAGTTAAGGAGAAGTACACAACCAAACCGCATGGTAATAGGAAGAGGAGAGAAGGAGCAACCGTGGGGATGAGATTTTACCTAGACACTGGATGGCATCGAGAGCAACTTGAGTAGCAGTTTCTGCAGCAAAAAGTATGACACCTGTCAGAGAGAGAGAGAGAGAGAGAGAGAGAGAGGGAGGGAGGGAGAGAGAGAAGTAAATGAGAAGGTAATGGTTAAATAAAGGAAAGGAGAAGACAGAGAGAGTGTATAGACAATTAAGATGAGGCGAGGAATGAAGAAGAAGAAGAGAGCGGAGGAGATATTCCTATCAGTATACAACGGCATTTGTTCAAAGGCCAGGCTAAAACACAATCCACCTGCCAGTTAGACACGGGGCCCCCCAATTAGCCCTATGTACATCACCATGCTGTTGACACATGCATAATAAAGTCTGACGCCACCCACGTTAATAAAACACCATTTCCATACACGCGAGGCTAAACCAAGGTTGTTACACATGGTTGAAGCGGATTAGGTAGCGCCGTGACAGGCACTGGTTATCATGTTACACCAGAAATTAAACCAGCGGTCGTGCAATTACTGGTTGGCACGAGCAATTAGAGGGTTAATTAGAGTTTGTGATATGAGGTTGAAACAGATATGGGTAACAGTATGAGAGATATTAGTGAATCTATGATAGTAGCTAAGCAGCAAAACGAATCACACGCACAATTAGTGGTGAGGACTGCTGGTTACTAACTGGTAATTAATTAGGAGGGAAGTGGATATGGCAAGAGGTAATTCATGCGTGTGAGGCGCAATTTTCCGCTCGAGTGGTTCGAACATGAGCCGAGAATGACTATGTGCCAATTTCTTAAGCCGTTGTTCCTAGAACGACGTCTTGCTGAATCCCAACATGGCGGGGGTGGGCTCTAACTGAAGTCAACGTATTCAGGATGGTTGATTGGCCTGCCCTTTTCTCAACTTGCCCGCTAAACGTATGGAAAAGTTACCCATATTTTCTGCACAGCTTATTTGCACTGCACTCTCCAGCTATAGTCAATACATTCAGGATGGTTGGTTGGCCTGTCTTTTCCCCAACTTGCTCACTAAAAGTACGAGAAGTCAGGCCACCCCTAGTTTCTGCTCTATAGTACACCAACGTAGGTTCAAGAAGGAGTTTGTTTACCGGCACAGTCCTTGTTATCAGCGTGACCTTTGTCACATGCTCTGGCCACAGAATAGACGTATGTTCTGCAGGCTGAGAGTCTGGTGTACATGTCGGCCATCTTACCCTGCATCAACTGGGGGTGAGGGCAAAGGTCAACAGTTTGATACAATATGGCAGCTTCACCCTATGTAGCTGTGACTATATTCAAGGTAGCAAGACATGCTTGAGGAAGAGAGAAAATTCTGAGGAATTAACTGAATTGTTCTTCTCCACAACTTGGTAGAAGAGACTGAGTCCAATCGGGGTTGCAAAATCCTCACAAGATTTATGCCTGACATACTAAGTAAAAAATAGTAGACTTTTGCCAAACTTCATACTTCGCATTACTTGAGAATAATATGAACAGTCCCAAGTGTAGAGAGTATATATAACCTATGAACCTGAAACTTTCCAATCTTTTCGTCGAACTGTTCTCTGTCGTGGAGGTAAGGAAATGCGGTGTCGATGCAGGCCTGCATGATCCCCAGCGGTCCAGCTGCCAGTATGACTCTCTCATAATCCAGTCCACTCATCAACACACACACTCCCTCGTTCACCTCCCCCAGAACATTCTCAGCTGAGTATACAAGGATTTACTGATGGTATACTGACAGAATACAAGGATTTACTGATAGTATACCGAGGTGGGCAAAGGTATACTAAAATACTATATAGATCACTGCTAAGCAAGAAGACGCGTTACATGGGGTCTCCTACTTAATTTTCTCCCTCAATGATATCCTGAGAGTATACTAAGCAGATATCCTGAGAGTATACTAGCAGATATCCTGACTCACCTGGAACCTGTACGTTGTCAAAGATGACCTCAGAGGTGTTGGACCCTCTCATTCCCAGTTTGTCCAGTTTGGGACTGGTTGTGAACTTGGACACATCCTGCGGCCACAGAGATATTTTTAGTAACATCTCTCTGATTACATCATGGCATTCTAATTATTGCACCAAACCCACGTGTACTGCCATGCATGTCTTGTGAAAAGTTGGTTTTGAGTGATTTGCAAAGTTTTTAACGAACCTTCTCCACAATGAAGGCAGTGATGCCGCGAGCACCGGCGTCCGGGTTGGTCTTGGCGTAGACCACCATCACATCAGCATCCGGTCCATTGGTGATCCAGAACTTGTGGCCGTTGAACAGGTAGTGGTCTCCTGTGAGAGAGAGAGAGAGAGAGAGAGAGGATTTCGAATTTACATACTATTTCCTCTCTATTTAAGCATTAGTCATGTACATAACTGCTTATAGTTACTAGACGTACGGTTAAATATGAAGGAAATCGCGCCGTTTGGAACCACTAGGTTAGCTCGCTCCCGCTCGCCAATTATATACTTCACCTTATCACTTACATACCAACCTCTGAAGGAAAAATGTAAAACATTTTAACAGTGGACAGGGGAGATTAGGGCGGCCTTAAAGTTCTACAGTACATCTTATTCTGAGGGCAAAGTGCAGTGTTGACCTTTGTCCTCTGCTCTCAGCTTCATACTGACGACATCAGAGCCACTGGTGGTCTCACTCATTGCCAGAGCCCCCACGTGATCACCACTGATTAGCTGGAAAGAGAGAGAGGGGAAGATAGAGCAAATAATTATGTGAACAGCTAATTCATGTATTCAACAATCTACAAGCTGCAATGTTGGAAATTTTGGAGCAATGAAACTTCTTTTGTAAATTCATTGCCTATCCTCCAGTATTAAAAAATATCTTCCAAATTTACAAAATATTTCTCTCTCAAGTTTCCTCAAAATTTTTGTCTAATAATACAGTTGCCAAAAGACTAATAAGATTGACTCTACTGACTTTGGGCAAGAACTTCTGTTTCTGTGACTCGCTGCCGTTTCTGACTATCTGGTTCACGGCGAGGTTAGAGTGAGCTCCGTAGCTGAGGGTTACCGCGGCGCTGACTCGACTCATCTCCTCCAGAACCACACAGTGTTCCAGGTACCCCAATCCCAGCCCTCCATGGGACTCTGGAGAGAGAGAGAGATGGAGAAATGTCACCTCTTGTCATCAACTTGTTCCGTGCTCTGTCTCGAGTTGGGCCTGGCTGATGGCACTAAGACCCGATTAGATATTGAGAAAAAATAGCTTTGTACGCTTAGACGATAGTGATGTAGGGTGATCGCTAGTACAAGACTTTCCAGACTTGTTCCAGAAAAAGATTAACACAAAAAAAGTGAGTTAAAAAGAAGAGAGCAGAGAAGGTTAATAAAGAGAGAGGGGACAAGGGTAGGGAGGAGAGAGAGAAAGATCATCAATCTCAATAATTATTATCAGACCTGGGCTGTGATTCCTAGGAGACCCATGGATCCCAACTTCTTCCAGAACTCCTGGAGAGGGACAATTTCATTTTTCAACACTACTCTTTCCCTTGACCCCTTCATTCCCCTTTTCCCCTCGCTATGGCAAACTGGGAGGTTATAAAAGCAGGGCAGGCCACATTTTGTTCCCATCGTCTCCTCTTCCTCTCCCAGCTGGGCGGGAGTCAGTCCCCCCCATATATATAAACTCTCTCTCACCCTCATCTGATTAAAGACAGAAAGGCAGAGTCTTAGGATAGGTTTACAATCATTATGTCACAATGGCTAGGGACCCCGTGTGCATCTGTTTCCATTCTCCTCTGCCTGTCTCTCCACTCACCCTCATCTGGGGGAAGTCGTTCTGTTTGTCAATGTCGTTGGCATATGGAGCCAGCTCCTTCTCCAGAAATGACCTCACCGAATATCTCATCTGATGGAGACAGAAGACATGGGGGGACAAACGTGTAAACTATTAAAACATGCTAGTGTTCCGTAAGGTACATATTATTTTACTTATCTATGAGCAACTGCATAGCAACTGCATAGCACCTGCATAGCCCAGCCACCAATATTAATGGTACCGCGCATGTGTATGGGTTCAACGTTTTTGTGCGCCGAGGGTTAGCACTTACTCCATATACTGTGAAGACCTGGATTCTGTGGTTGTAAAAATCAGCCCCATACACATTGCCTTCTCTGTCGTAATAAAGACAGTTGAACTCTCCATTGTGAATGGAGAATGTTTCCCCCATTGTCTATTGCTACACCATCAGGACTGTTGAACTGACCAGGACCTGAGCCACTGAGTACCAAATGATTTCTTCTCTCCATTACCACTGATGATTGATACACAGTGACCAACACCTTCTTTTGGGTAGAAGATGCCAATCATGCGCAGGACTACTGAAACATAAAGGATGGCTTTGACGTGCCCGAGTTCTAATTCTTGCTCACCACAACATATGTAGTAATACATCTGCCGCACTGAACATTTCACCTTCATGCGTGAATGAAAAATTTGAGTGGTTAAAACACTTATATATTTAATACATTTACAGTATTGTGGTATGGACAGTTCAAGTAAAATGGTGAGTTTGCTTCGACTTGTATGCGATAAACAATAATCCAATAACCAAACAGAACG